GGGGGGGGGGGGGGCGGTTGTTTGCAGATGCATGTGTCTGGTGGCCATGCGTTCGAGCGGTTTTCTTCGTCGCATGGGCGCCACATGCGACGTGAACAGCCAGACCCGCCCCCCCACGCCCAAGCCATAAGCATCCCGCGGAAAATCCCCAGGCCCGCGGCGAGGAAGAGCCGCAGAAGCGCAAGGGTTTTCTGTAGGGTTCCCCGTTGATCTGCCTTAAAATAGGGGCACCGCGAAGAAAATGGATTGGATCCTTGGTCATTACATGGCTGCGGGTCAAAACCAATGGTACCATTTTGGGGTAGGTGCACCACCCATTTTAGGCTTTGTTTTAGTGGGGATTGGGATGTTCACTGGGGGTACGATTTGGCTTTGGACCCATGGCCACATGTCCAGATAGACCCCCGGTGAAGTTGAGCTGCGAGCGGAGCATTTTGCCAAGGCCGTGGCAAAGGTTCCGGCCGGGAGCCCATCGGACGACACTTGCGGGCGAGCCAACAATAGGTAACCAAAAGAGTTGTTTGTTTCTTTCTCGAAGGCCGAGAGGGTGGGACCCTTGTCCCAAGCAGCCCCTGATTCGCTGGCCGGACACATGTTTTTTGCTTGGCCCCTTGGGGTTGAAACCTGAACCCACTCATGAGCATGGTGGGGCTGCGAGGTTTTGAAGAACCATGGAAATCCTCTGGGCATCTGAGCTTCATGGTTCCCGGTGCGCTGCTTCACGTCTCACGTCTCGCTGCTTCGCTGCGTCGGACCCCGTGCCCGTAACGTGAGCTCGAGGCGAGCTCTCGCGGCAACGGGAATCCCGAGAAGAGCTCCAGGCGAGAGAGCCTTTTTTTTTTTTTACGGGGCGTCGGGCGACGGCAAAAAAATGGTTTCGGTCCTTTTGGAGGGTATCCCTTTGTTTTTGTGGGTTTGAAGGGAAACCAAGAGGAACCCCACCAATTTGTCTTTGTATATGTTTTTGTGTGTTTTTTCTCCCTGGGGGGGGGGCTAAAAACACACATCCACATGGGTCTATCTTAAGATTAATCCCTGGTTGACTAATAGGCAGGTGTCTCTTTTTAGTTCAGGGTCGAATCACCTTTGGAGGGAGCACGCCCCTAAGAATAGGACGGGTTTACTCATTTGGGACCACCCAAAATGGGTGGTCTCCTTCTGGTTTCCTTACCAACCAAAGGGGGTTCCCTATTCAAAAAATACATCAGTGCACTGGGGTGTGGGTTGACTGTTTTTTTTTTGAAGCAGAATCTGGACACATGCTTTTCTTTGCCAGATTTGGGACAGCTACACCCTTGTGCCCTTGAAAGTGACCCCATTCTGGTTTCGCCAGAGTCTCTAGGAAGTTGTCTTCTCGCCGACCCCACCAGAGACTCCGTGTTTGGAGGATCTATGGTTGCCCCCCTACATGGGTGAACGCAAAGAATCTAACATATCCGGGAAAAGCAGGCTAAACCAGGTTTCTGCTGTGGGAAAACCCTTGCACAGATTCTGCTCCAATCCAATTTGGCCATGGGTCAAAAGCCCGTACCCTCAGTGAACATCCCAATCCCCACTAAAATAGACTAAAGTGGGTGGTACCATTGGTTTTGACCCGCAGCCATTTGAGACGTGAGTTCGCCTTTTGGTTTGAAGTGAACCGACGCGGGCGTCTTGCACTTGCAACACGACAGGGGCCTCTCCGATTTCTGACCGTTAACGCTTCTGTGTGGAGATTGGTGGCAAATAGGGGGCCTTTTTCCAAAAACGGGCAGACAACATCCAAAGGGCTGCGAGTTGTTGCTCGCTTTTGTGTGCGCGATTTGGAGCAAACGTTTGAAGTTCGTACCCCTGGAATAGATCGCTGCTTGTCCATCCCGTCTTCTGATATCCACTGAAGGGTCCAAATATTTACACTCCCATCAAGAATCATGGAAGCTGCCAGGAAGATTGCAGACCACCACTTTCTCTGAGAACCCGCCTGTCCACTTCTATGATTGGAACGAGGGTATAGCTTTTTGGCAGGGTTGGAGTCCACCCCCTTGTTGAAGCATGCTACACCGCCCAAACCTTGGCAACCTGCCCCAGTTGATGCATGAATAAACCCCTGGCCGAGTTTCATTGGGGGGTGTCCCAGATCCAAGTCACTTGGCGAGTTGCACCCCGCTCTGTTGAGCAATCCGCCAAGAAGCAGACCTAGAACGCCAAGCCGCGGTCTCTCTCTCTCTCTCTTTTAAAACACGATCAAGCGTCAAGCCCGACTCGCAGTTGCTCAACGGCAAAGAAATTAACACGAAATTTGTGAAAAAAAACACCCAAATCCCCCACCCCACCACACCCCACCACACCCCACCACACCCCACCACACCCCACACCCCACCACACCCCACCACACCACACCCCACCACACCCCACCACACCCCACCACACCCCACCACACCCCACCACACCCCACCACCCCACCCCACCACACCCCACCACACCCCACCCCCACCCCCACACCCACAACCCCACCCCCACCCCCACCCTCCCCTCCCCCCCCACGCCCGAAGCTGGCGAATCGGAAGCTTCGTGTCTCCGGATCGCCTCGCAGGGCATGCTGGCGAACCTGGAGCGGCAGCTCAACGAGGTTCCGTCCGCCCGAAGTCCGCATAAAAAAATCGACTCGCGGAAGCGAAGGGGACGGTCGGGTTGCAGGTGGAGACCCGCCCCATTTTTTCGGATTCTCCTGGGATCTTGGGGGCCTTTCGCGCGCAAATTCTCCCCCTCCTTTCTCATCTCTTTTTCTTTTTTGGCGGTTGCCGGGCTTTGATGGTGGCTTGGGTCTTGAAAAGAAAGAACGTCAGACAGGATGAATTGCTCTGAACCTCCAGCCGATGACGGGCAAATTTCACGTTTGGGTCGGTTTTTTCCAGAGGCCAACATCCGAGGCTTCTGACAGGGTAAAAGCAGCCCTGCGAAGAGGGTTCCGGAGTTCTAGAATTCAACTCTTGAAACTTCCATGAAAGTTCCAGTCTTTTCTTTTTCACATGAGAAGTAGGGTAGTTCCACTCCTGTCAGCTTCCATTGTTGGGGTACGTGGTTGGTGGATCCGGAAACTACCATGGACACCCTGCGGCCCCTCCATATGAGGGTTTCCGCCCAAAACAAATGGTTTCCCAGAGCCTGCAAAACAGCCGAAGCTGCAACAGGACACTGATATGTTTTTTTGCTCGCGGTTTCGATCTCACTTAAGTTACCGCTCAATTGCTGCAAAGCCCACGCTTGTAAGTTTTTGTATTACACCCTGGGAATATACCTGGGTATTCACCCCATGTAGGCACATCTCCGGAGAAAACCCGTGTTATTTTCCACCATTCTGGGTCGTTTTTTAAGGGTGTAATCCCAGGGTGGAATACAAAACCCTCAGAACGAAAACCCTCCGAACGCTGCCACGACCTTTCGGACGGTTGTGCCTTCCGACAGGTGAAAGGCAAGCTGGCACGCTGAGGCTTGCGGCTCCTTGAGTTGTGTCCGGGCCACAAATTTGCAGAAATCCGACCAGGTTCTTGTAAAAATGTCGTGCCCTTGCTAAAACAGCATGTTTCTTCATGGCTTTTTTTAAGGCTCCTGGTACTGACCAGGGTTGTGCAGAAGAACGGGCCCACGTCCAATTAGATTTCATAAGCTCAACTCTGGCGCGCTTGCGTCCACGGCGTGTGACAAGACTGGCAGGCGCAGCGCAAGCGCTCAGCCAATTTGGCCTGGAGAAAAAGTCCAAAGGGCGGGGTGCGCTCGAGTGTCACCGGCCTGGATCAGGCAGTTTCCAAATTCCTTGTGGGAATCTTCTTGGTTTGACCTGGTTCTGGTTCTCCGGGTCAAAAGGGGAATGACCTCAAGAGACAACAACACAAAGCATCCATTTAAGTGGATCTTCTCTTCTGGTTCATGCCCGAAAACCCGACGTTATCCGACGTTGATTCCTTACTCAGAACTAGCAAGACAAAGCCATTGTCCACACGGATAGGAGCATGGCTGTCCCTGCCCATGGTGAGTTGCGCTACGGGTTGTCATTATTTTGTCACCCTTTATGTTTCTTCCGTTTTTGGAACTGTTTCTGTCTCTCTTTCTCTCTCTCTCTCTCTCTCTCTCTCTCTCTCTCTCTCTCTCTCTTTTGTTGTTTAAACGAGTTGAGATTGTGTTTGTAAGAAACCAAAAGCGCAACTTGGCCATCTAGGTGAGTTGTTTTAGAGAGACACCACAAGGAAATCAAGGATCCAAATTTAGACCACTATTGTAAAGGCTCGAATTAAGGTAAATACCATATGGTTCATGCGTGCCAAGGTCGTCTTGTGTGAGTATCAGGTATGGCACATCTGACCCATTGTCAGGCCTTTTCGTCTCGTGTTCGCACACATCTCGTGCTTTTATTGCCCTTTTCTCCTGCAAGGGCAAGGATCAGAAACGCCAGGGTTTCGGGGAGATTCGGGCCGCCTTGTCCTGCCGCGGCCTCAAAAACGAGGAGGGAGGGTTGACCTGCTCTGTGTGTGTGTGTGCTTGTGCCTTGAGTGCTATTGGGTTGGATCTTTAGACTTGAACTTTTTGGGAAATCAAGAGTTTTTCCGTTAAACCCGCAAAAGCTAAACTTTTTGCAGCGGGGTCAACAGCAACCAAGGTGCGAGCAGTGTGAGCAGACTTGCAGTTTTGCTGACTTGTCCCGCTTTTGCAGGGATTGTACTGACCTACAGGTAACTGCTCCGACTTTCGCAGGAGTGTGACATGTCCTAAAGGGTAAGCTGTTAAAGGTCAGATATCTGCCGCCAGGGCGATGTGCCAGTAGTATCAGTTGATTTGCCAGCTGCGTGGTAAGTGTGCTGACCTTCAGGCCAAACGCACAGCTTCCCACACTCACGCAACATCGCGCATCGCGCCGAATGTTCCTTGTGCGGTCTGCGCATGTGTTGCAACAGCGTTTGTTCACAAAGTCCATTACAGGAAGTTCAACTCCCTAAATGACAGTGCACTGGAGGTGTAGCTGGCGCGTAGTTGGATGTTGAGCCCGAACCGACCTCCCAAAAGTAGTTATCCTAGATCCTCTCAACTGGGACCCCTTGAAAACCAACCAGTACTCCATACCAGGTTCCCACTACTTCAAGCCACCAAATTTTGAAAGACAAAGCGCCACTGCGCTGCTTTTCTCCAATGGGTTTTGCATTTTATTGGGAGTTTTCCGGCAAATTTGGAGGTCATTTCCCAGAGTCTGATTGTTTTGCACCATTTAGGGTCTTTGTTTCCATAGTTCAGGCAGTCTCAGGGTACCAAACAAAAACTCAGGCCCGGAGTTCTGGATATTAACATGCAACCCTAAAAAACTCTTATGATGAAACCTCCTTGTTTGATTGCTTCTTCGGTTCCATCTTAATTTCCAGGGGAGGTGGTAAACCAAAAGCCTCGGCGTTGTTTGCGGCCGGATTTGCGCAACTTTTCTCCCGCCCTAAGGTCCATGGACACGTGCGCAAAAGCGATGGTCGGGGGACCGAAGGACGGACCTCGGACAGAAACACCGAGGAAGAAGGGTTCGCCCCCCCCCCCCCCCTCCTGCCGATGTGGAAGTATAAAAGTCCATCCCCCGAGGGCTGAATATGGGCACACACCTGGTTTTTTCATGGCAACCAGGGGGTAGCCTGATACCCTGCAAGAAGGGCACTGGGAGCAGGGGAAGCGGCCACTTTGGATGAGTTTCCTGTCCTCTTTGAGGGGCCAGTATATGGCTACGAAGTTTAAGGTCTGGGATTTCGGGCCACTTCTGACTAGAGCGTGGAGGGAATCCTTGGGGTATGTGGAGCCCTGGTAAATGATTCCTAGATAGCCAAGGTGTGATCGCTTCTTCCAGTCACGCCTGGTTTCTGGATGGTGAAGTGGATGAAAAAAGGAGCAACTGGTGATCCAGATTGGAACCAAACCTAAACCAGTGCCCTCTATGTTCAAACTAACCAAAAAGGACACCTATGTTCTGAGGTGTGGTTGTCAAAACCATTTTGGGATACCGGTGAATTCACCACCCATTTTAGTCGGGATGTTAGTGGGGATTGGGATGTTCACTGGGGGTACGGGATTTTGACCCATGGCCATGTGTTGAGAACCCCGCATAGGGAGTTTGATGGACATGAATCATGCATGAAGCACGTGCTCAGAGCGCCGGGTGAATGATCACTTGAGGTCTATTCTCGAATCTCCCCGTGGAACAATGCCCCGGCTCAGGCCGGCATGGGTGACTTGCATTTGGCCTTGTGGACATGCCATTCGTGCTTTAAAACAGAGCCGGGTCCAAATTGGGGAGTTCCACTTGCTCCGCCTTCGGCCTTGTGGGCATGCCATTCGCTTCAAGATCGGCGTTTTCCTTTGGGTTTCCCGAGTTTCCCTTGACAAACACGGCCAGGGACGCGGTTTCGCCTCAAACTCTTCGTTTCAGAAGGCTTTCGGCCACATCTTGCTGGGCGAGACCCGGGACCTCAAGGGCTTGTGTTTGAAACGTGGGAGAGCCGTTTCCCTCGTGGTCTTGTGGCCAGCGAAAAAGAAAAAAACAGCACCTTTTTAGGGGGGCTGCAAGGTGCCCCTGGCTGCCAGGGCTATGAAAATGGAGGGGGGGGGTGGGGGGTTCGGACAAGCCTTGTGAAACTGAACCCTCTTGGCATCATTTGCCAAGGGTGTAGTCCCAGGGCACAATGCACACACCCGGACATGTGCGTGCGCATGTGTGTGTGTGTGTGTGTTGGTTGTTGCTGGTACCGTTATTCTCCGACAGCTGAAAGAGTTATGGGATCTCTGCCCAGCAAGGCTCTGGGTGGTTTGGGGCAGCTTTCAGGGCGGGTTCGCCGGGTTCCGGGCTGTCACCTGGGCTCATAGTGTTTTTTTTCAGGGCAGGGAACACCAATCTCACAATGGCCAAATGAACATGCCCTCTACGACTCTACGGCCACAGGGGTTCCTCAGCTCCCCGTGCTTGGACCTCAAGTGACAGATCATTGGAGCCTGCAAGCTCTCGCCAAACATAGAAGCGCACAGCGCGTTTGGAAGACGATTTTGCTCTTCGGAGGCCTGTGCGCGCGCAGCGCCAAGCCTCGCATCTGTGCACCACATGGCTGTGTGTCAAAACCAATGGTATTTTGGGGGGTAGGTACACCACCCACTTTAGAACCTATTTTAGTGGGGATTGGGATGTTCACTGGGGGTACGATTTAGATTTTGACCCATGGCCACATTGAGAGGATGAATCGATCTTTCGGGGACATCCGATCCGGCAAGCGATCGAGTTCTGGGCCTAAGACTTGAGCCCCAGGTAGTTCCCAGTGGCAACATGGAGGCGCAAGCCAGATCGCGGATCGGATCGAGCGCCCAGTAAGCGAGTGGGTCATGCCTCGTTTCCGTGCATCAACCGGGCAGAGGTAGATTTAGTTGCAGATCAAATGCAGCACCCTGCCAACCTTTTGCAAGATGTACCTTGAGCAAGGTTGCTTGCTCCCCGATTCCCCCTTACATGTGGCTATGAATTTCAAGAATTGCAACCACCTCCAAAGCTCGTGGACTGAATTCCCAAATGATGCCAACCAAAGGCTCCCCTATCAAAATTCCATGTCCGTCGTAGGCACCCTTTGGCTATTGGGTTGGACGAAAACAAAACCCTTGGCCAACCCCCGACGGCCTTGGTGGCGTGTAAAGTGACAGGTTCGAAAGCAACATTTCCAGTCCCTGGTGGTCTATCTGAGAGGATGGGGGACTCTTGAAATTTCAACAGAAAACCAGAAGGGATGTCTATGTCTAAGTTGCCAGAAAGCTAGAAGGGATGTCTTTTTTTTCAATGTCCGCAGAAGCAAAAGCATATTTTGGCCGTGGCTCACGTGGCGACTGTTGTGTGAGGTTGGTCAAATTTGCTTGGCCGGGACATACGATCCAAGCCCTTGTTAGAAGATGGCAACAACCGGCATCCGAACATCGACTGCAGCTGGACCCTTTCCCCCGGTGTCTTTGTATGAATTTTTGGTTGTCCAGCAGCCAGAAAGCGGAAGTATAGGGAACCCCCGCAATTTCCTGGAGGTCCCCGGATGAAGAGTCTTCAGCAGCGGAGATGTTCATGAGGGGAGACGAAAACGGAACTTGACGCAAAAGTGGGTGCCCCAAACGCAGATGGTTGGAGGGAATGAAGCAACAGAACTAAACTATCCAACTGGTGGCTTCCTTTAGGGGAATCCAACAGCCCTTAGTGTACTTAAAACCATGCAGGCATGGAGGCGACTGAGTGATGCGCCATCACCCTGGGGGGGTGCCCTCCCCCCCACCCCCCTCCCCCGCCCCTTTGCGTTCCGTAAATGCTTGGTTTCCTTTTGGCTCCCTTTCAAATAGCCTCAACCAAGGCCACCAGCGCCAAACAGGAAACACCTGCAGGGCCAGGGGTCGCTCAAGTTTCAACCCCCAAAGAGTTGCTTCCCCACCCCCCCCCGGGCCATTCCTTGACACCAAATCAGAACAGCCCTCACTTGAAATCAGAAGCGCGACGCGCGACGCGCGCGCAAGCGCGAGTGAGTCCTCCGCCAGGCCTTTCCCTGGGCCTTCCACGCCCTGGGTCGCTTCTTGGAGAACACAGCCGTGAAGGCGGCGGAAACGTTGGAAAACCGCGGGACACACTGGGCTGCGGGGTGGGGTCTGGTGGGGTCCTTTTTTTATTTTTGGCGTGGTGGTTCCTTTTTGGTTCCTCTTGTGGTTGGGGGAAATCATGGGGCTGGTTGTTTGGGGTTTGGGTCTTGGTGTGGGTTCCTCTCTGTTTGCGCGGGTTCCGTTTTTGTTGTGGTGTGTGGATTCCTTTTTTTTGTGTCGGTACCGTTTCTGCACGGCTCTTTTTGAGGGGGGGCCGCTTTTGGTTGGTTGGTCTGCAAGGAAAAATAAAGGAAACGCGAAACCCATGGCCCCCCATGAGGGCGAACCCTCTCAAAAATCCAACTTGTGTGATGCCACAGAACAGTTTCACGGGACCAGTTTAGTCTCTCAACGTTTCCCAAAACTCAGGACTTGTCCAGCTGCTTGGCTTCCTTTTAGCTTCCCTAGGGCCCTAAGCCATCCATCCAGAATCGAATCGGCTCCGCCTTCCTTTTTTGAGCAAGACCCGCGAGCCTGAAGGTTCCTGGAAGACAAGCTTACAGCTGTTGTCCTCCCTTGGATCCATTTGACCGGTTGCGCGTTTCTGGGCGAAAGAATGAGCCGCGGCCTTCCGAAAGGTGCCCTGCGAGAGTGTCGGAGGCTGAGCTGCCGGAGATGTCTTGGGGAACGGCGGCGGGGGCAGGGGTGCATTCGAGGGAAGGCCAAATTAGACGTAAACCCAGGGCTTCTGCCTGGGAAGTCTTGGGTTATCAAAAGATGGTGACCGCCGCCCTTGGGCGGACCTCCGTTGCTTCACCGCGTGAAGGAAGTCTGAGCGAACTTGAAGGGTTAGAAGTGGTGGGTGGATGCAAATGCCTCTCCCCTTTTCTTGAGTGAGGGTGGCAATGGCTTACTGCCCCTATGGCCTTTGCAAGGGTTTCGTAGTGATAGAGTCCCCCCCCCCCCCGCGTCCATGACATCTGGGGTGCGTCTTCTTTTTGGAGTTGGTACCCCTTGTTGGTGAGTTTTGTCTTTTTTTGAGGGATGCCCCTTTCTGGTTGGCTTCACAGGGAAACCAAAGGACAACCATTTTTGGTGTCTGGTGTAAGACATCCACAGTTCTGAGGATCACTTCGTGAACCCCGTCTTCTGGCAGCAGATGCCGGAGCCTGCACCCCAGGTTTTCCGTGAAGGGGGGGATTTCAAAGGACACCTCGCAAACACCCAGTGGTACTTGCAGGGGGTTCCCTTTAGAAAACGACACCCGGTGGTATTCCTTTTTTTTTTTTAAATAGGGGGTTCCCTTTAAAGCCCACGGCTCGCAAAAAGAGAGTCGTCCGATCCTTTGGTTTCCCAGCAGCGACCGGCACCCTCCTTGTACGATTTTGTCCTCAGGTCTAAAGCCAACAATTTAAGAAAGCAGTAGTCATGGGTGCAAGGGGAAGGCATTTTGGACACGCACCAGCAGGGGGTATTGGTTGAACGAGCTTTCACAGGGGGAGCCAAGGAGGGCTGCTTCAAATCAAAGAAAATGGGGAGCAAAGGAGCCTCAAGTGCCAAAATCACCAGGCAGCTGTTTATCCACCGCATGGTATGGCTTTGGCGATTTTTCCCCGCAGGCAGAGGCCCGTGGACAAGGCAAGGACTTGCAAAACCGGCTGGCAGATGAGTTTTAGTGGGAATGCCAAAGCCGGTTGGTGGGCCAAGATGTTTGGAAGAACTCCAAATGGGCGCGTGAAATTTCATGGGGGATACCCTCGCCGGTTGGTGCACAGCCCAATCAGGTTCCGCCAGGTTTTTGATAGGCGACAAAATGTCAGGGCGACGAGAAGTTTGCCCCCACCAAACCGAAGCTTCTCATCTCGCGAGTCATTTTGACCGCTGCTTTAGAACCTCTGCCGACAGCTTGCGCTTTTCGCCTTTTCTTTTTTGCCATTTCTTCGAAGGGATGCGGATACTCTGGCCGGAACCCTCCCTTTGTAGTTGGTTTTAAGGGAAGCCGGGCCTGGTTTGGGCTCCCCAAACTTGAGAGACGGCCGTTGAAAGAAGGGGATTCATCATCCTGGAGGTAAATGGACCCCAGAGGTGTGGCATCGAGCTTGCGAACGTACAGAGGGCCACCCTCTTCCTGTTGATGGACTTATACTCTAACCCAGATTCTGAACTTTTCACGTTTTGGGAAGATCGTTTCAGTGGTAAACACACAACTTCAGGACTTGATTGCCGACCAATCGACTCAGGAAGTGAATCCGGCTTGCCACAGGTGCCTTCAGCCGCGGCTTTGCAAAACCTGGAAGACGGGCCAGCGGCTGAGCGAGCTGGACGGAGCACGTGAAGCATAAACCGGCTTGACCAAGGTGCCCTTTGGTGTAGTTTCCTCCTTTGGAAACCGTTGGAAACCCCCCCCCCCCCGCCCCCCCCCCCCCCCCCCCTGAAAAAATAAAAAAAAAAAAAAAAAAAAAAAAAAAAAAAAAAAAAAAAAAAAAAACATGTTGCTCAAGGGGGCACACAACATAGGCTGGCCCAAGGACGTTTCCGTTCTGCCAGGAACATCTTCCGTCAGCGAAGCTTAGACTTGAACATGCGGCCGGCCGCTCGCGACACGACCCAGGCCTTACTTCATAATAGCCAGCTTCCTCGATGCATGGAGTGGCGGCCTGAGAAACACGCGCAGAGGAGAGGCAATAGTTCAGGAAAAAACCGGGCAAGCAAACATGGACATGCTGGAGAGACCTCCAAATCGGAAAATGAACGCGCGACACGTGGATTGCGACATTCTAAGTGGTCATTGGTGACCATCAAGTGCCATGACATTTCTCTTTCTGTAGGTCTCGCCGCCGCCGATTCTGCATGCCACGCATTCAGGAGTGCTGTCGGTTCGGCGGATTTGCTTTGCATCCCTTCGCATTCACTGGATCTAATATTGGAGAAGTCGGGGAGTGGATCAGAAGCATTTGGATCGAGCAAAACGGGCCTTTCTCAGACTCGTAGGGATGGAGACATCAACCGGCAAGTCTTGTGGGCATAGGCTGGAAGGCACCAGGAAACCAGGAACCCTGAAAATGGGTGACTTTCTTTCTCCCAAAAAGGACACCAACATGAGTGGGACGCTGGAATGCTGGCCAAAGAACTTCCAAAGTCCCAAACCTTCGGTTGTGCTTCATCCCTACCAGCACGAAGCCGACTCTTTGCAGCTTTTGAAAGCCTGCACATGCCGCGCTTACCGACCCGGCAAAACGCGGTTCAAGAAAGATTTCTGGGCGCAGAGGCCATCTGCGACAGGCCAAACCTGGCCTTTGAATTCTGGAGGTGATGTGTTTTGGGTTATCATGGTTGTTGTTGGGAAACATTTGAATCATTTTTGCTTGTGGTTTAGTGACTGTTTAGTGGTTGAAATCCAACCACTTAGCTGCTAAAATTTAAATTTTAGCTCCCCTTCCAACGTCAACCAAGTTATGAACCCACACAGTATGGCCTTCAGGCTTACCAAGCCTCACTTGCCGGAGCCCTTGGGGGGGCCACCGTCGACCCCTTTGGCCAGATTTTGATTGTGACCAACTTGTAGAATCATGAAACACCGGCAAAGCCGTGTTTTGCGGGTGACTCGCGGCAGAATGCAATACACCAGCTTTCACTCGTATGAAGGTTGGAATGTAAACGTCGATGCTACCAAAAAAACCGACGAAGATGATGTTGCACCTGCTTTTATACGACCCCACGAAGAATGCCAACAAGAAGCGGGTCCCGACCCACGGCCACATGCGTTTTCGCCATCAAGTCGGTGTCGCTTTGCTCCTGCGATTGGCTTTCGCCAGGACTCTTAATACAGTGGCCGGCAGGGAGCTCGGACGTGGAGCCCATGGTGTGGTGTGTTCCCATGCATTTCCTTTGTGAGGGAACCCGCGTGTGTGGTTGGTTTTAGGAAGCCAAAAGGAAACCAAAGTCTTTGTGGGAAATGGTCCGATTCATGTGAGACCAATGCATGAAAGGGGGACGTGGGAGGTTTGCTGGCGATGCCACCTGGCGTCTGCTGAACGTCACCGCAAGGGCAGAAACGACAGCCTTACAAGCACCTCTGCCATGGCCCTTGCTCCTGAAAGTCTCGAATCCTAGTCCTAGTGGCCTCTCGGGGTGCACATCTTTGTCAAACTGGCACTGCTGCTCCCGAGTGAATTCTTCACTTCTGCACATCAGACATGTCGGGAAGCTGCGAAGGATGGAGAAAGAGCGCGTCTTAGCCTCCCCAAACACATCAAGTAGCGCAGCTTTGCATGGTTGTAGGCTCTGTGTGAAAAGGGTGTTCCCAAGCAGACCCTGTAGTAACGTCGAGGCTTCTGCAGCCCCTTTTTTTGGGTGTCCTTGTATTGGTTCTGTTTCATGGCTTTCTAGAGCGGTCGTGCCTTTGTTCCAAAAAAGCCGAGCCCTAGCTTTCGCCCAACCCCCCTTTGGCCTCAAGTTCCAGAAGGGCGCCATAAGACACGCCCAGTTTCAATTTCTTGACTTTCAGAGGGGAATCGCGGGCCTCACTGTCGTGGGGCGCTCCTTGGCATTACGAATAACCCCATTTGAGACGTTCTTGTTTGTTTGAAAGGGTACCCTTTTGGGGGGCCCTGCTTTGTTGGAGGTTTCTGGAGAGACCAACTTGAGAAACCAATGCTTGGGATCCCTGTCGGAAACCCAAAATCTGCTTGGCTGAAAGGATCCATGTGCTTGGTCACATGGCTGTGACTTTCGGTGGTAACCCACAAGAGCTTGGCATTCGTTAGGACCATTTTGACTGGTTTATCAACGGGTGCAGTTTTATACGCCCGGAGGTTCTGTCAACAGTTACTTGTAGTCTCTTAGTTCGACCCCAGCTCCGTCCACCCCGTAAGTACTTCCTCTCTCAAATCCTAGGGGTTGACGTGGCATGGGCCGCAAATTCCCACCTGGATCGATCCAGTTGATGCCTTTCTTCCATCCGCGAAATACCATGCAAAAACCAGCAGTGACTGAAAAAGCAAGGGCAACTTGGCTATCTAGGCCCTCATTTTTCACGGGTTTCCACGGGAAACGCCCGGCCTCGGGGCGTGACATGTCAAGCCGTGGCTTCCTTTCAGGTGGGCCGTGGCAGAGCCTTGGCGCGGCGATGCGGCCTGGCCAAAAAGGAGCCAAGAGAAAGCCCCCGGTCCCCCCACTTTTTGCTTGGGTCTTGCAGGGCCGAGAAAAAACGGTATCCATTTGGTGGGTCTCTTAGGCGCGATTCAGGGCGTGGTATGTAGTGGGTCCTTTGGGTGGGTTTCCGCTTGGTACTGGGAAGCCAAGAGGAACATCAATAGTCCATGTGTCCTGGTGGGTTTGGGGCAGCTTGGGTTCAAAAGGGTTTGAGCTGAGGGTCGGGGTCTGAAAGGCCAAAAGCGGACACCCTAGGGTTCAACTGCCACTAAAAGAAGGGTTGACCCAATTGGGATGGCACTCCTTAGGTAAACAACAGGTGATTCTTATATGAACCCCCATAGTTTTGATGGTTTGAACCGCTAGGGGCATCTTCGCCCCCTTTTTTGAGGGGTCCGATTCCCCTTTTGAGACAAAGCCGGTTGGTGCGACGGCCATGGCAAAACACACGGGCCTTGCTTTTTGTTTGTTCGGCCGCGTGCTTTGAGGGCAGGCTTTGGGTTGGTTGGTGGCTCAACCATGTGTTTTTGACGGAGGGTGGCCTTGAGCGGAGGGTCTTGGCCCTCTACAGATTCATGGAGCGCTGTGCGCCAAGCAGCCCAAGAGCCTCCGTGAGGTCCCGTCCCAGCCCAGGTTTCGAGGCTTGGAGCTGGAGGATGAGGGCATCTTCGACCTGGGCCGCGCGGCGACTTTTGTTTTCTTCTTTTGGGTGCCGGCGAGTAGTCAGAAGTTCGGGCTCTTGGGATTGAGATGGGCGGTTTTTCCGTTTTGGGCACCGGGCGAGTAGTCAGTTCATGAGCCCAAAATCGGGTATTTTCTTCTTTTTTTTCCGCTTTTCTTCCGTGGAAAAAGCTCGTGGCGCACGCCCCGGGCTTTTTGGATTGAGATGGAAAGTTCGGCAGGCCCCCACGTGTTGGCCCACCGCCCGGTGGGCTGGTTGGTTGGGTTGACGGGTTGCTTGGTAATTGGAAGAAAGACTAGTTCCGGCGTTGAAGCAGCCGCAACAGAACCAGGTAAGCGCAACTTGCGCCTTTCATGCAAAGCAACCTCGGCTGTCGGCTGTCAGGGAGTTGTCGCCCTTTTCTGGACACACCAGGCTCAAAAGGACACCGCAAGGAAAACCACCATTTTGGGGGGGTCCCCCTGAAAAAATGACACCCACATACCCAACCACCTGCTTTATTGGGGGATTCCTCTAAACTCAGCTGGCAAAGAAAGCAACCTCGGCTGTCGGCTGTCAGGGAGTTGTCGCCCTTTTCTGGACACACCAGGCTCAAAAGGACACCGCAAGGAAAACCACCATTTTGGGGGGGTCCCCCTGAAAAAATGACACCCACATACCCAACCACCTGCTTTATTGGGGGATTCCTCTAAACTCAGCTGGCAAAGTTTGCTTGTTGCTGGGGTCCGGCCTTTGAGGACCCCTGTGAACCACCTGGGGCCCGAACAGGGTAGGGAGCGCCCTCGAATCGCCCACTTCGGAATCACAAGCTGGACTTCAGATTCGACCACCAACCAAAAG